CTGCCATCCTGGGACGTACAACCACGGACCAAGATAGTGGGTTCGCGGAGAGCAGCACAATGTGACACCCCTGCTGAGAGTCATGCAGAGGCCATAAACCCTCACCTGTGATGGCCATCAGACCTGCAGAGATCACCAGACCCAATGCATTGCCCACTGCTGAGACCCAGTAACATATAGGCCCCAAGGATAATCACAGATCACTCAGTTGCTTCAGCTTCCAACTGTAGTTGACACTCCTGCCCAGCTTACTAGCAGGCTGTAAGTGGCATGAGCTTCTTGCTTCACCATAATTCAGATGTATTACATTAGGAGTCTGACTGAAGCCTACCTGGCTCATACGGGCATGTCAGGTGTCAAGCTGGCAAGCACAGCCCCTCCTCCAATGGCTGCTGCAGAGGCCTAAGCCCTGGACTGTGAAGCTGCAGGGCCCTGACTGAGATAACACCCAGCTGAGGTCAGTGTGACTCTAGTTAAATTCCTTTCCCTGAACTGTGGCCTCCCTCACTGACCTGATTGGTTACTGGTTAATCACAACCCAGTCCTGGTCTCCTTTTATTTCTTCTGCAAGAATTCATTGCCTCCCTTTTATAGCCTTGCCTATAATAACTGCTATCGCCAGGTGTCTCACACACTATCACCAGATGACTCCCATATACCCTGCCCTATTTCTTCCCACACTTATTTATTACACACTGTATTTAATATACACTGTATTTATTGATTAAATACTGGAGGTCTTGGGTGCCTTTTGTCTTTGCTGCCCAGATCAGCTCAGACAATCCCAGATCCCCACTCTCTGTTTAAGTCTCATTTCTGGGTCTTTTGTTCTCTCACTTTGTATCATATTGCCTAGCAGGAGAGCAAGACTCACAGCAGGGGTCCTCCACAGTGGATATTACCCATCAGCAAGAGGAAACAAAAATGATCGATGCTGGAAATATCAGTATGAACCCATGTTTAACTTAATATTGAAACACATGGCTGTATACGTAAGTGATACAAAATACGCATCATACACAGGTTTGTGTACATACATGTATCACCTGGCTCTGTCAGCTGAGAGGGTGTAGAAGCAATAATACCTCGGTAGCAGCAAGCCCACACAGTACCAACATCTTGGTTTCTAATACCATTCTCCACTAATGGAGAAATGTCTTTTTCAAGGAAGAGGCCAGGAATATACAACTTGATCCTGGGGTAACTTATATTGTCAAAAAGTAAGGTAGTACTTTTTAAACTCCTGTGATGCTGGAGGGTATGTCAACAGAATCCAAGTCAATGGAAAGCGCTTCCAATGGCCAAAGATGGATCATCTTGAGCAAAAAGTAATCAAAGTGGGGCTGGGGATTTAGCTCAATGGCGCTGTGTGTGCCTCAAAAGAGAAAGGTCCTGAGCTTGATCCCTGGTACCAAAAAACAAACAAACAAAAAAGGAATTAAAGCAACATTGTATTAATACACACATGCAAGGACATTATAACTGAAAGTATTAAATAAATAACTATAAGTCCATACTGATATAAATAAATCATTGACTAGACTGAAAAGAAGAGACAAATGTTCCATGTAGAAGAATTCCAGATAACTGTGTAACTACTCAGCCTCCAGTGAGGTGGAGATTGAGTCCCCCCTCTTTCACTATGGTTTACACGTAGTAGCTACCTTCCAAAGAAGACAGCATGGAAAAGAGAAGAAAAGAATACCTCGCCATGGTGCAATGTGGTACACACCACTTCAGCCACGTGATCAAAGTCAGCATCAACCGCAAGAGCCAGGCTGATGGTGAACCTTTGACACAATGTGATGATAGTGGAATTTTGCCTCTGTGAACTTCCTTTTAAAACCCCATAATATTAGTTCAATCATGAGATAAATAGTCAAACTCCACAAGAGGAACATCTGGCAAGATCATTAAAATCAAGGATAGTCTAAGAAACTGTCAGGGTAAGGAGAAACCGAAGATGTGATGAGTAAGTATAATATGGAAATGGGTGATATGCTGGGACAGAAAAAAGGACTTTAGGTTAATAAGTCTTAAATTGAAATGTAAGTATAGGTGGTAGTTAATAATAATGCATCAATAATGGTTCAGTGATTGTAACAAATGCGCCATGCAAATGTGAGGTGTTAAGAATAAGCGAACCTCAGTGTGGGATACGTGTGACCTCGCAAATGTCTTGACAGTTTTCCTGTTCAATTAAAATTTCTAAGATAAAAAATATATATTTAAGGAGGTATGGTAGAGAAAGAATAAAATATTTGTATCATATATCTGGTTGAGGATTGGCATCCAGAATATTTAAAGAGTTCATATAACTTAACAATAAAACAAATGAGTCAATCTAGTTTTAAAATGACCAAAGATTTGTATAGATGCATGCCAAAGAAAATATAGAGGTCATTAATAAGTATATGAAAAGGCACTAAAAGTAGATAAATGCTATCAGAAAAATGCTATTTAAAGCCACGATGAATTACAACTGCATGCCCACTAGGATGGTTCTAATAAAAAATCAAGCAATACCAAGTGCTGATGAAAATGTAGAACCCAGGACTCTTAACATTGCTGGTGAGATTGTAAAATGGTACTTAATGAAAAATTAGCACTTTCATAAAGAGTTGAACATAAATTTACTATATATCTCAGCAGTTCTACTCCTAGGAATCTACCAAAGAGAAATAAAAACAGAAGTTCACAGGAAAACAGATTTGCATATACATGCAAATTTATATAAATTTACACATTAGACTATATTAATGCAGGAGCGTATGAAAAATATAAATCCATACATAGATCATCTCAAACTGGAAATAGTCCAAATGTCCATTAACTGATGAGGAGGATGAGAAAATCCTATACAATGGGATCGAAAAAAATTCTTTTTAAAAAGTTACCACTCAAAAAATATAAAATCCTTATTTTTCTTTTTCCCTTTATTTTGTTTTTTTTTTCTTTTTCTTGTTTATTCCCAAATAGCCATGAATAGAAAAGAAACTCTCCTCAGAACATCAAAGTGAAAATCCTAGAAGGTATAAAAGCTGTTAGAGAAAAGCAACAAATTACTTATAAAAGTAAATCAATTAGAGTTGTACCAGACTTCTCAACACAAACCTGGAAGGCCAGGAGAGCTTGGAATGAAGTGTTTCAATCCCCACCACCACCACCAAAAAAACCAACTTCCAACTCAGACTGATATGCCCTACAAAGTGGTCTTTCAAAATTGATGGAAAAAGAAGAGATAATTATACACATATATGAACCAAACACAAACACACCCAACTTTATAAAACAAACACTACTGGACATAAAAGATCAGATGAATTTCAACACAATTACAGTGGAAAACTTCAATACTCCACTGTCACAGATGGATCAATTAGAAAAAAAGCAGCAAGGAAATATCAGAGTTGAAGCAAACCTTTGAACAGAATGGATTTAATAGTTACTTACAGAGTGTTCTATCCAACAATAGAATGCAAACACTTCTTGGCAGGAATTTTCTCCAAAATAGACCACACATTAGCCTACAAAGGGTAGGAATCATCCTAGACATAGTATCAGATGACAGTTCAATCAAACTAGAAATCAATGGCAGAAGTAATGACAGAAATTATGCAAATGCAGGGAATGTAAATAATATACTCTCTAAGGGCTGAGGATTTGGTTCAGTGGTTCCGCCACCTGACTCGCAAGCGCAAGGGCCTGAGTTTGATCCCTGGTAGCAAAAACAAAGCAGACCACTAATACACTCTTGAATAATCAATCAGTGGGTCACAGAAGAAATCAAGACAGAAATCAGACAATTCCTAGAATCGAATAGTAATGTCAGTACAGTATACCAGAAGTGTGGAACACAATGAAATCAGTCCTAAGAGGGAAGTTTAGAGCTGATAATGCTCCCTTCACAAAAGCCAAGCAAGCCCAATAATAACCTAATAATGCACATCAACTTCCTAGAAAAATAAGAACGATCCAAATGCAAAGCTAGTACAAGGAATGAAGTTATAAAGATCAGAGCAGAAATTAATGAAATTGACACTAAAAAACAATGCAAAGAATCAATGAATCAAAGAGCAGGTTTTTCAGAAAGAATAAACAAAATAGAAAAACCCTCAGCCAACCTAACCAAAAAATGAGAGAAAGACAAATCAATGCAATTGGAAATTTAAAAAGTGAAACCACAGGCCTTTGCTCCTCTTCCTCAAGGAAGAAAACATCAACTTCCCCATCTTGGTCATGAGTGGATGGATCCCACGTGACAGTTTTTGCCCTCAGGGTTGTTTCCCTCTAGTCCAGGGCCCCTCCCTGGGTAACATTAAGGGCAGGCTGGACTGGCCACCACCTGGGTGTGACCGGCCAATTCCTTGCCCTGTGTCTGAGTCTCCCTTTGCACCCTGAGCTTTACCCAGTAAATTTTCTTTTTTAGTTTAGAATAGCGTTTGGTGTCTGTCTCCTGCAATCCATGGAGAAATAATGAACAAAAACTGTGGAGAAGCACCTGATTTTAGGGCTGAAAATCTTGGATTTGAATCTCAAGGGCAGCTTACTCAATTGCGATGTACCCCAGCATCCTTATCTGAAGAAGTGTAATAGTAACAAAGCCCACTCATTGGAACATTGTGAAGATTAAATGAGATAATCTATAGGAAGCACTTGGCTGGGATGATCCCTCAGCCATCCCTCCCACCCAATAGAGACCACCTTGAAGGCAGGACCGGCCTGATTCATCCCCACCGGTGCTCAGAATGTGCTTTCACAGGTGTCTGTGTCTGGCACTAGTGAGTTCTGTGCCTACTGTCATGAGGCAACCACAAACACTGGTGCAACTCCAGCCTCATTTTTATATCAAATAGTAAGACTGGAAACTTGAATACTGATGAAAGTTAATGTGCGGCATTGCTATGTTTACTCAAATTTCCTGAAGAGCCTGCCATTGGCCAATGGCTTAGGGGTGGGGACCACTGCATGATGAAGGCCACTGTCCCCCTCTAACCATTAACCAGCAGGGCAGCTGGCTAGCAGGATTTAGCCATCTGCGTTCCCACTGGCTTACTGTACGCGTGTCAGGATCCTAGACAGCACCAAGCCAGCAGAGCAATCCGAGCCCACTGCGGACAGTGAGTGACTCCTTGCAAAGCCTGGGGCTTACCTGCCCCTGCCCCTGCCCCTGCGCCTGCCTTAGTCTCTGCCCCTGCACCCTCCAGAACAAAGTGGTAGCTGCAGCTCTCGTACTTGTTTAGATTATTTTCCTGGGGCACAGATCATGAGGGCAGTGATATGAGGCCACCCTGGAGCACTTCCCAGTCTGCAGGTCACCCGTAGGGTTTTGATTTCTCAGAGAACAGAGGCTGTCACTGAGCGCTGTAGCTAAGCTCCCTTCCCATCCATCGCACCTGGTGCTCCCAAGCCCAGCCCAGCAGCAGCCACAGCTAGAGAGAGACTGAGACTGAGGGCTTTTGTGGATCAGTGCCAGGCAGTGTCCCAGTGGAGAATGCCAATCCAGGGGGTGTGCAGAGCTGGCACAGAGCAGGGGCATCCTACAGGCTCTCACATGTGTATCTGCCACAGCTCTCGCTAGGTGACCCGGGGCCAGGACAATGTGGATTGTCACTGACTCTCTGCCTTTTTCTGTGGCTGAGTTCCTGTGTGAACTGCTTTGCAGTCTGATAGCTCTGGGTGGGGAGCCAGGCTCAGAAGTCAGACTTCTGCTGGCGCTGGAGTCTCAGCCCTGCCCAGGCTGCTCTGCCTCCTGGCTCCCTCTTTTCATCTGTAAAATGGGCCCCAATGCCACATGGTGGAAGTCACCTAAGCCAAGCACACATAACAGCCTTCACTGCTGTTCACAGCGGTGTTCTGAGGTGGAGAGTTTTGGTTGTGGTTGTTGTTGTTGTTGTTGTTGTTGTTGTTAATTAATTCATTTTATTGGTACATTTTAGGTATACCCTATAATGACATTCATTATTGGAGATTTGCACCTTTCCTTCCGCAGGGACAGAAGGGAGGGAAGGAAGGACCAGCCTGCCCCTGGCCTTGTGCTGCTAGGGTCCTTGCCCAAGAGAGGTTCACAAACATGGACTGGGGTGGCAGTGACCAGCACTGAAGCAGATTCCTCTGTGTGTGACATCAGAGCAGGGACCAAGAGTGAGAAGAAGGGCTCCCTGGGTACAGTGACTTAGCATGAAATCCTCAAAGGCTGTGAGGGAGTGAGCTGGGCTAGGCGTGAAGGAGCCGGGGCCTCAGTGGGGCCACATGGGACAGAGACAGGGCAGGGGCTCAGTCCTGCAGGGCTCAACAAACATCAAGGGACCGATCAGCCCTGCCCTGCCCTGCCCTGCCCTGCCCTTCAAGGATGAAAGTGTGATGTGCACCAAGAGAAGCTGGCGGCTGGGGCATCAAGGGGCCAGTTCAAGGCTGGGGGCAGGATTGTCAACAGGGACTGGGCTGTAAGGGTGGCCAGGCCACCTAAGAAGGGATTGATTGCATCTGTCTCTGGATACCAGGGAGCCAGTGAAAGTGTTTCAGCAGGAATTTTAGAAAGAAACAGCTAGAAGCAGGAGAAGGGGTTGGAGGAAGCTGAGCAAAAAGCGAAGACCAACCAGAGACCAGACAGCACAACTGCTGAGTGCAGGAGAGCGGCCAAGCTCCAAACTTGGGCTGTGTGCTGAAACTGGAAGAGAGGAGACAAACACCACCAAATGGGCCAGCCGTCCTAGGACTGTTGTCTCTGCTATTAATTAATTAATTTATTTATTTTAGGAAAATGGATGTATGTTGAGGTCGTACTCTTTTTTTTTTCCTCATTGAGTTTATCGGTACATTTTAGGTATACAGTACAGTTACATTCATCATTAGGATCTTATATCTTTACATGACAGGTCTTGGTTCTCATTTTTTCCCTATACCCCTGCCCTCCCTTCACCCCCTCCTCCCTTCCCTATTTACCAATACTTTATTTCCATTTTTTCATTTCCGCTATTTTATATGAGAAAACTGAGGCAGAGCTTAAACAGTTCCCACATCACCTCGTGAATAAAGAGTCTCACTGAGATCTGAATCCAGCCTGCTCTGCCACAAAACCCAGGGAAAGGAGAGAAGTGTACTGGAGACCCAGCAATGATTAAGGTCAGAAATCAGATCTGGGGGAAAACCCAGTAAAGCCCAGCAGCTGGGGGTCGGGGGGGGAGTGGACCCCACCTGTGCCTATCATCCAGTAGTGAAGTGAGGGGTCTCAGATCAGCCACTGAGCTTGTCCTTCCACTCTGCAGAGGGAGGAGGAGTCAGGCAGGGAGTGCTGGAAGAGGGTTCGCATCTATCCTCTCAAGGTTTGGGTTTTAGAGCATCTCACGCAAGGGACCCCTGAGGGGTTCCAGGGACCAGTGGTTCCACACTTGGAGTACACCACAGATTCCTGCACACTGGTTTAAATAAGAGTGGGAAGGGAGAGATTTATGAGAATAGGGTTATGTGATCATGGAGAGAAGTCCCACAGAGGACCTGAAGACCAGGGAGAGCCAGTGGCAGCATAACTCCCAGTCTTAACGCAAGGCCTGAGAATAGAAATGGGGCTGCTGGTCTCAGGATGCAAAGGCCCAAAACCCAGGAGTTCCAAGGTCCAAGGGCAGAGCACGGGTGTCTCAGCTCACAGGAGAAGAGAATTTTCTCTTGCTCCACCCTTTTATGCTCTCTGCATCCTCGGTGGATGGGGTGAACATTGGCAAGGTTGGCTCTTCTTTACCCAATCCATGGACTCATCCTAATCTCTCCTGGAAATACTTTCACAGACACATGCTAGCATAATGTTGTACCAGCTGCTGTGGTCTGAATGCCTACAAATATTTACAAGACTCATGTATTGAAATCTCCACTGTGGTAGTGTCATCATGAGGAATTTTGAGGAGGGTGATTACTAAAGAGATAAAGAGACCTCCATCACTTCCATCACTCTGTGAGAGGACAGCAAGACAGCACCTTCTGGAAAGCAAAAAGCTCTCACCCAACACAAAATCTGCTGTGCTTTGCTCTTGGACTTCCCAGACTCTAGAACTGTTCTTTAGAGATAACCCAGCCTACAGAATTTTTCTCTCAGAGGCCTGAATGGGCTAAGACACCAGCACTCTGGGCTTCCCTGAACGCAGTCAAATGAACACATAAAATAAACCATTATATCCCTTCTATTGATCTCTGTCCTTTGTAGAATCTGATCCTTTCTACAGTAAAGTAATTACTGATGAGGAAGGGCTTCCTTCCAACATCTTGTGATTTGTTTTCTAGACATCATTTCCTATATTACTGTGTCCTTTTTTAAAGTTAATTTTTGAAGTAAAATGTTTTCATTCTCACCATCTTTTATACATATACTTTGGCTATTTTTTGTGGTTACCATGGGGATTATAGTTAACACCCTAAAGTTATAATACTCTAAATTTATAACACCTTAACTTCAATAACATATTAAACTGCTTCTCCATAGCTCTAGCCTTACTTTTATTTAGTTATTGAAGTCACATTTTTCTGCATATGTGTCCCCAAAACATACATGAATAATTGCTTTTATATGTTAATTTAAAGTCATATAGAAAATAAAAGATAAAATTACAACTATATTAACTTTGATAACTGTCCAAGCACTTAGCTTTACCGGAGATCTTTGTTTATTTGCCTAGCTTCCGGGAGATATCCAGTGTCTTTTCAATCTGAAATGAGATGAATCTTTCATTTCTTTCTGGGCATGATTTGAGCTCTCTTTGCTTTATCTAGGAAAGTCTTAATGTCTTCCTCATTTTTCAAAAGATGACTTTATTAGCTATAAGATTTGAGGGGGTGTACTGGGGAGCGAAGTCTGGTCCTTGCACTTGCAAGGCAGGCAGTGGAACCACTGAGCTAAATCGCAGGCTCCTAGATATAAGATTCTTGATGGAAATTTTTGTTTTGTTTTTCTTTCTGCATTTTGAATATACCAGAATGGATATCCAATATTTTGGATATTTAGCCTCTCTCAGCATCTGTCTGTGGGTGCCTAAAATCAAGTTAATAGTATTTACTTACGTCGTGGTGAAGAATAGATGAGCAAAAATCAGCAAAACACCTAGATCAGTATTGAGCATCTAGAAGGCACTGGTTCAATCGCAGTGAAGAGAAGCCACATCTTCCTATGAGGGAACTAAAGGCCAGAGCCCTGCTGTCACTTTCCTCAGGTCACGGGGTCAGTGTGGAGGAAGGAACTGGGGTCAGAATGGGGTTTTTGGCTGCTTTCTGTGGCGCTGAGCCCCGCTCAGGCCACCACCACGTGCTCTAATTAGCGTTCTTGTCTTTCAGGGCCTGGCCATCCCAACCATGTCACTTGCCCTGTACACCTGTCTCCTCTGCCTGTGCACCAGTGGCCTCTGGGCCATCCAGGCTGAGGCCCCCAGTGCTATTTCGGGCACAGAGAGTCCTCACCGGGGCCTGGCGCCAACCAATGCTGACTTTGCCTTCAGCCTGTATCGGCACGTAGAGGCCTTGGCTCCTGACGTGAACATCTTCATCTCCCCTGTGAGTGTCTCCATGGCCTTGGCCATGCTGTCTCTGGGTACCTGTGGCCACACACAGACCCAGCTTCTCCAAGGCCTGGGCTTCAACATCACCAGCATGTCAGATACCAAGATCCACCAGAACTTCCGACACCTGCACGACCTGCTCAGGGAGTCAGACACCAACTTGGAAATGGCTCTGGGCAATGCCTTGTTCCTCAATCACAGCTTGCATCCTCGGGAGTCCTTCTTAGCAGACATCAAACACTACTATAAATCGGAGGCTTTGGCTGTAGATTTTCGAGACTGGACCAGAGCCAGCAGAAAGATCAACGAGTACATCAACATTAAGACAAAGGGAAAACTCATGGACATGTTCTCTGAACTGGATAGTCCAGCCGTCCTTATCCTGGTCAACTACATCTTCCTCAAAGGTATCTGCTCCCATCCCATGCTGACAGAGCCCCATTGGCATTGCTGAGAATAGTAACAGTTGTCATAATTTAGGGTAAACTTGGGGTAACAACTTTGATTTCAAAAAGCACATTCCCAGCTGGGAGTCTCCATCTTTACCATGAAGGGGACTATATCATTTTACAAAAATCAAAATGAAACTTGGAAGAGTTTAGTGACTCTCCTGGGGTCCTGGAGATTGGTTTGAGGCCCGTGCATATAACCTCGGACAGACTGGCTACCTCATGGTCGACAAGCATTGACTGATTACTGATGTGAGACAGGCTCTGGGTCAGGGGCCACATATCCACCTTTGAACCAGACACAGGCCCCCTCAGGGTCTCCCCGACACCCCCACAGCCATCCTACACATGCCACTCCAGAACCCACAGTCAGCTCTGAAAGGGCCTACTTTCCCCCAACTCCAGCTCCCATCAGTTTGGAGCTAGGCCTTCTAAAGTGCTGTTCATAGAAATCTTCAGGGAGACATGTTCATATTACAGATTCCAGAGCCCAGGCCAGATCTACTAAAGCAGAATCTCAGTTGGAAAGCCCTACAACGCATAGTTTTACCAAGAGCTCCACATTAGATCATTTTTATGATCAGGCGAATTGGACACACACCATCTCTGAAAATAAAACAGAACTCCTTCTGCTAGTACAGTCTCAACTGAGAGTGACTCCCTGCCTCAAGGATGTTAGGCGATGAATGTCTGGGCACATTTGGTTGTAACAACTGGAGTGGGGTAGAGTGTGCTGGTAAGCAGAGGCCAGGAAGGCTGCTAAATATCCTATTCAAAACAGTCAGGATATCACTCCGAAATGTCCAAAGTGACAAAGTTAAGAAGACCTGGGCTACTAGTTCTCTGCTCTCTTATCTTCTCCAGCTTCCTGTTTCAACATTTACTCTCCTTCATCACACACACACACACACACACACACACACACACACACACACACACACACAACTCTGGTCATACCACATTCTTACATTCCTCTGTCCTGGACCACATCGCTCTCTGGTGAATCCTATGTGCTTCTCCTAATGCTGCTGTAATGAATCCCTGCTGATATGATGGCTTAAAATAGCACAAACTGACTATCTGGCAGCTCTGGAGGTCAAAAGTCCAAAATGAACCACACTGGGCTAATATCCACCTTTGAGCTGGGCTGGTGCCTTTTGGAGACTCTATGAGAGATTACATTTTCAAACCTTTTGAAGCTTTAGAAGCCGCCTGTGATTCTTGACTCAGGGTCAAAGCTAGAGATCACAGCTGTTCCCAACACTCCATCTTCTCTGATCCTGGCTCTTTTGCCCTTTTCTCCTTCCTCTGCTAAGGACCCAGGGGTTTACACAGAGATGCCTGAATCATCCATGACACACTCCCATCTCAAGGCCAGCTGATTATCAACTGTATGTCCATCTGCAACTTTATTCCCCCTTGACAAGAACCCGGAATACTCAGAGATTCTGACGACCAGGATGAGGGAGTCATTATTCTTCCTGGTCCAAAGCCCATGCCCCTTTTGTCTCATGGGCACTCTTTCAATTTATCTGAATCCCCAGAACATCTTCCATTCTTCAGGTCTTAGCTCAAAAGTTGCCTCCTCTGGGAAGCCTCCCCTGATCCCCTCAGCGAACCCTCTGCTGTTTATGTGCAGGTAACCAGGCCCAGTTTCAGCAATCATCTTATTATGTCTCTGGGGCCCACAGGGCTCAGCTCCTGTGAAGAAGTCATATTCAAAGATATGCAGAGGAAACAACCAAAAGAAAGAAAATCAGCACCATAGTGAAGCCCTGTTTCAGGTCCATAGACATCAGACTTCCTTTGGAGAATGGTTTGAAGACCCTCAAATTATCGTACTTTGTGTGATACTGACTTACTGTCCACAGTGACTGAGCTTGGAGAGGTTATTCAGGATGGACCAGGCAGATCTCCTGACTCTCTATGCTGGGACCGTACTTGTTTTCCTGCATCCTTCAACCTATCATTGTCTCTACTAAGAACCAAGACTTGACCACGTAATGCACAGATCTTCAGGCACTGAGATGGAGAAGGGACTTCATGGTGCCGTGTTCTGGAAACCTGGAAGCTAGCAAGTAATGGCCTCATGACACTTCCGGGATTGAGGTCAAGGGCACCAGAACACCTGGGACCCATGGAGTTCTCAGTCCTCACCTGATACAGAGAAGCTTAAATGAGAGCAGACGAGGTCCTGATGAGACCCAGTCAGTGTCTTTAAATGTCCCGCCACAGGATTGCGCAGTCTGGAGTGAGCTCAGCGGGACAGAGGAGGCTCCATGGAAGGCACTGCCTCAGGCGGGTTTTGGGTCAATCCGAGGAGCAATATCTCCCCATCAAAGCCAATCAGTACTGCAAGGTAGTGAGTTCCCCACCCTGAAGCAAGCTGGACAATGAAATCATGGGATATGGTCTAGCCAGAGCTGGGTGGGGGTGTCTATGACTCTGAAGGAGCCTTTCCATCCTGGCTCTGCACTCAGGAAATGTGGTCTGGCATGAGGGGCCAGGTGGCAGGTGGAAGGTTGTTGGGTGGATGGAATGGATTGTTGGTCTATCCTGAAGCCAAAGTCCCTACCAGGAACATCGAATGTGTGGCTTGAGGTCCAGCATCGCTCCCAGAAAGCCAGGGAGCCAGGACCAAGTCCATTCTCAGGGAACCCTACCCCCAAACCCAAGGCCCAGCATTCTTGTGACCTCCCTGCCCTCTTCTGAGTTTAGAAGGCAATCTTAGAAAATGGAGCAACTCCTCCACCCATTCCAAGAGGTAGAGGATGGAACAGGATTTAAACATCTGGGAGCTGTGGCATCTTACTGGAAGATGCTGGCAGCCACAGGGGGGACATCATGTGCCAGGCTCTCGTGTGGCCTATTCATGGGGACACGATGGTGTTCTGCTGCTTCCCATGAGGCCACCCATGTCCTACCCTATGTGCCTGACTCCTGCTTTTTCTTTGCTCCCTCTTCGCAGGCACATGGGCACAGCCCTTCAACCCAGAAAGCACCAGGGAGGAGATGTTCCATGTGAACAAGACGACCACAGTGACAGTGCCCATGATGTTCCGGTCAGGCCCTGCCATGTACCTGCATGACTCGGTGCTCCCCTGCCGGCTGGTGCAGCTGAACTTCACAGGCAACGCGACTGTCTTCTTCATCCTTCCAGACCAAGGGCAGATGGACACAGTTATCGCCGAGCTGAGCCGGGACACAATCCAGCGGTGGTCCGAGTCCCTGGCCCATCGGTAAGCCCGCCCACCGGTCCTGCGAGTTGGTGTCTGCAGTGCAGTGCCACCAGGGCATATCTGTGGTCCCTCCCACGGCTCCCTGGCAGGGCTCACTGTTTCCCTGAGGTTCTCTGACCTGGAGGTCACACTTGTTTCTTCATGGATCAGTCAGCAGTGAGATCTCCTTTCCCTGTGAGTTTCATAGCCCCCTCTATATTATCACATTTTTACTTCTGTTTCTTAAAGTGACCTTAGCAACCACCCAGCTCCCTACTTTTCCATTTTGTTATCTTGCTTACTAGAAACCAAGACTTGCTACAGATTCCTGGGATGCTTGGTAAAGCACAATGCAAGTGACCGCTGTATCTCAGTTCGTTCAGGGGATGGAACTCTTCTTCAGTCAATCAATCAATCAGTCAATCAGAAAACAAGTTAGAGAGTGGGGCCTGAGTGGGTAATAAATGGGTCCTGAAAGAGAACAAGGGGTATATGCTCCTAGATGGGGGTCAGGAGGAGAACCAGGCAAGGGACTCCTTATGCCCGCAACTTTCAGCCCAGGCAAGGGGCCTGTGCAGGGTTGGCATCCAAGGAGGGCCAGCTGAAGATGTGAGGCAGGGATCAAGGAGTGGAAGAAGGAGGAAAGAAACAACTCATTTCCCCCAGGTAGCCCCAAAGTAGCGTGCAACTGAAGTGACCACAGGCGTGCCCAGCCCTGCTCCTGGCCCACACTCAGGGAGATGCCCAGTCCCTTCGATTCTGTGTAGGAGAGTCAGAAAATGCCAGCCAACGTGGAACCTGCTGGCAGGCTGGGTAGTGCAGACTTGAGACAGGGCAGATGTGTGCGGTGTAGAACAGCTCAGAGGCACTGGTGGGGCGGGCACGTTCCCTCCGTTCACTCATTCACTCAGCATCCGTGCACAGAAGCCCCTCTGTGCTCTGCACCAGGCTGAGCGTAGGGAAGAAGAGGGGAAAGTCAGGCCTCGGATCAAGCACTCTGGAGCAGGAAACAGATTCTGGTGGAATTCATGGTGTAGAATGGCATAAGTGAGGGGGAGAAGGAGGAGACGGAGATGAGGAAGAAGAGGAAGAAGGAAGAAGAGGAGGAAGAGGAAGAGGAGAAGGAGGAGGAGGAGAAGGAGAAGGAGGAGGAGAAGGACACTGGATGACACTGCCCAGGGGCAATGCCTGCAGAGCAGATCTTTGTCACTAAGCAGCGCCTCTGGCCAGAGGAAGTCCAGCTAGTGGGAAGGGTCCCATGGAGCAGGAAAAGGGGATGACGCCTTTCAAGTCAGGAGGCTGCACCCAGAGCACCAGCAAAGCAGGGCAACAGCAATGTTCTTGAGGAACTTTGGGGAGGCAGCGGTGAGAGGAGCCTGAGTGGCAGCAAGTGGGGGCAAGAAGCTCAGGGTGCCGTAGCTAGTGGATGTAGATCGTGACGGTGCTGTGATATACTGCATACTCCCAAGTGCGAGGCGAAAGGATGTGCACATGCTTACCAACAAGAAGTGGTACATTTTGGAGAAAACATGCTCACCCTGGTTTAAACATTACATAGTGAACACGTGTATTGAACTATCACAATTACAAGCAATTTTGCTTTTATGAATGTCCTAAAAATTAACTGAAAAAACAACTCTACAGAAGAAAATCTAGAAAAAATATTTTCTACTTCATTACATAGATGGGTTTTGAGTTTTATGGTTCGCAGGGGTTTTTATTTTGAAAGACACCGTCCCAGAGAGCAGTTGGGTGCTGGGTGCTGGGTGCTGGGTGCTGGGTGCTGGGAGCTGAGTGCTGGGTGCTGGGTGCCGGGTTCTGCTGCAGAAGTTCATCTAGCTTTGTGCATGGACAGGGAGGGCCTGGGAGTCCCCTCCTCCCTTCTGCAGGCGAGGGTGGGGTGGGCAGTGCTGTCCCTCAGAGAGACTGACCCCCACCTAGAGTAAAAGTTTCTGTTGTGTAGTGACTCTGTATCCGGGTGATGTTAAGGATTTTTTACATTTACTTATTTATTTGTGTTGGACTCAGGGTCTCACTAAGTCTCTAAAATGCCCAGGCATTGCCCAGGCTCTTTTCTCTTCTCTTCTCTTCCTTTCCTTTCTTCCTTTTTTTTTTTTTTTTTTTTTTTTTTTTTTTT